CCAGTCGTCGTGTCACACAAGTCCAGTTTTGCGGGACCCAGTAATGAAGGATCCCGCAAAATTGAATTGGTCTGGGAAAGGGCCCTTAAGGGTAAAGTCTACAAATCGGCGAAAATTGGTCTTTGATTGCTAATAGAACATGTGTGCTGTCATTTACAATATCTTCAACATTATCTACGCTACTGAGCTAAGTCAAATACATCGGTTATCAAAGAATTCACAAGAAAGCTTTATTAGATAAACGTACTAGATGCTCAAGACTGTGAGAATGATCAAATTGTGGAGTTGTTCTCGGAACAGAATACCGGTCCCATTAGTAATGCGCTTCGGTGGAATTTTGTAGTTATTTGCCGAGCGTTCATTATTTTGGACAAAAAAATTTGGTGCGCAGTTTGATAAACCAAAATAGCAAAGGTTACATAATAGTAATGTTATATAACTTAAAAAATATTTTTACAATATCAAAACTGGTTGTAGTAGGAAAGAATTTAATTTAATTGGGCCATTGAAGACTATAGTTAATTAAGTAGGTACATTGCCAATCTTAATTGTTGTATAATTCATTATTTTAACTTTTTATCTTTAACTTTTATTTCTAAGCGTACTTATGTTGGGTAATCAAACCTAATTTGTTTCGTTACCCCAAATTTTCGATCGCCTATTCTTATCCACAATCAGTCCCTAAGTTCGAAGTATGGTATCACAACATTTGCCCTCCGAGTGTGCAAGCTTTATTTTGTTTCGCACTCACACATGTTGATGAACTACGGCACATTCTCACGCACACAAGCATAATAGCTACAGCAAAGTCTCACACATATACACAGCAGCTACGGCAAAGTCTCACACACATGCGCAGTAGCTACGGCAAAGTCTCACACATATGAACAGCAGCTACGGTAAAGTCTCACATGCGCACAGCACTCACACAGTAACGCCACCTACGTGTGACGGCGCACGTGTCATGCAGCGGCGGGAAACTGTGACAGCACACGCTGCCGCACTCGCCATACGTCATCGAAACGTAACGTTGTTTTGTTAACACCATGGACTTTTACTTTACTTGCCCATTTAGACCAAAATTGGTTAAAAAATACAAAAACGTGTACTAATCTAAAAGAATGTAGAATTCAACTATGCTATGTTATGAAAGTGAAAGTTTACGGCCTTGCCTCAACAGTGATTATTGTTATATTGAGGATTAAAAGTTCATATTGGATGTCATGCGTCTTACATCAAAAATTTTACATGTTTAATAATATAAATAAAAAATAATTATATCTATATATATAAAAATGAAACCCGTTTCGCGTTGTCACGGCATCACGTGTGAACGGCTGAACCGATTTCGATAATTCTTTTTTTTAAATGTTTGTGGAAGTCCAAGGATGGTTCTTACGGAAAAAAATATTAAGAAAATCTCTACGCTAAGGCGGTACGAAGTTCGCCGGGTCAGCTAGTTAGTTATAAAAAATCACAATTCCTTTTTTCTTACGGCATATAAATGGCCTCTAATTGTATTTTCTTTTCCAAAGTCCAATCTGGATCATTCCAAAAATTCATCTTTATTGGTTCTGTGCTTTTGTTAATATAGATATGCTAACGGATAGACAGAAATTAAGCCTCCATTTTTATAATATTGGCTGCTATTACTTTATCTTTATTAGCGCCCGACGAACGCTGCACAAACCGGTGTCAGTAGCCTAAGAACAGATTTACTGAAACCATAACCCTCCTTTTATAGACATGGTTTATGGACATTTACCTCTATCAAACATCAATCTACACCACGTCAGATTAAACTCACTTTAATTTCCGTAACTATTAAACACAAGCTGTTCTGTATGGCGCTTGTTGTACATTTTCCTTGTTAATTGTATTTGTACCATCTTTCCTGCTTAACTGTCCTTCAATATCAAATGTGACTTTATATTCTTGTTTGCGCAGAAAGTGCTATACGGACATACTTGTATCATGCCTGTGTTCATTGCCACTGCCTAAAATGGTCATGGAAAATTTGACAAGGAGCACAACTACATAGTTCTCACCACTCCCACCTAAAATGTGTTCAAAACAATATGAATGTCAAAACCTGTTAAGCGTGAGGTGTGACAAATGAATCACGTTTATTTGTTGACTATTATGCAAGTGTAGTTATGAAAACAAACAGAACTTGAAATGGCAAAAATCACTGATACCTACATAAAGAGAGTTCCTTTCTCCGAAATAAAAGAGTGAACATCAATCGCCGTTGCAATAAAGTGCAGTATTTTTGACAGTTGCTAACGAATACAGGATTAATTGGATAGCATTAACACCTAAACTCATTAATTTACCTTAACAATCATGATAACTAAAATGAACATGGAGAGATGAGGAAAAATCTGTAATTTTTTCATTACTATTGAGCTTGCGGATCTTACTTCTGAAAATTGGACTTTGGCGAGTGAGCTAGCTTCCAAGATATTATTCTGACTCCTTCCAATCTTCTTACATGTTTTTAATCCTCGGATTTCCATTGAAGAATTCTTCTTTCAAAATGACATGCAAAAATACACAATATGGACAAATTCGTTAACATAGAAATAAAAATATGTTTATTTGTACTGATCATGACTGAGAGACATTTGAATGTTGGTTTAACCTTGTGGAGGTCATTTTTTGTTACAACTACGTACATTTTAGGGGGTTTCCGTGATGTGAAATTCCTCAGTTAAATCCGAACTAATTCTTGATTTTTTCTAAAATTCTTGAACGTTCTTTGAAAATTTTGCCCAAGTTGTAGGATCGGAAACGGTAGTAAGTAGGTACTTATTATTAATGAAAATACATTTCGTTCATATTCAAGCTACGTTCACAACGCTATACCAAAAGCCTGCGCATGTTACCATGGAGGATTGACTTAGACAAGCAATTTGCATACTTCTGTAAGGCTATTGTTTTAATACAAACTAGCTTTTGCCCCCGGCTTCACCCACGTGAAATTTAGTTTGTCACATATACCTAGCCTATATGTTATTCTGGGTTATAAACAATAATACTGTAAAGTTTCAACAAAATCCGTTCAGTAGTTTTTGCGTGAAAGAGTACCAAACATCCAGACATCCTGACATCCAAACTTTCGCATTTACTCGTATTACTTAATAGGATGTTTAACTTGCCGATATTACGGGTAATGTTGAGCCTGATTCTATCCAACTCTATAAGTCTTAATGAATACTACTAAGTAATAATTGGAAACTTTGGAAAATCATTTTAGATTAAAAAAAAAACCTGAAGCAGAATCGAGTCTTATCGAGGAAGTGGAGTAGGTATCCGTATCTTAATCATAATTTATTTCTTTTTCTTCTTCGTTATGTCTTCTTCTATACAAAGTATCGGGTTTCCTAATATTATTTTTACGTTTACACCATGTCCTATATTTTATTTCAATCCTTTGTTCGTAATAGTAGTATTGAATCAGATATTTTTTCCCACCATAAAATTTGCCCCAGAACTTTTATCTACGAGTAGTAAATTCAGAATCAGTTCCATCCATTACGGAGGCAACCGTCAACAGATTATATCACGATGTGCGGCTTCTGTTGCTTCAGAGAAACCTCTCATGCCGGATTGGCCAGAGACAACAGAGGAGTTGACATTGCAGTTCATAGATTTTCATTAGCACGTTCCCGCCAATTTGGGTGAGATTCCATTGACGTTATGTTAGCAAAATTTTCCAAAACAATCCTATTTAAACTAGACTTTCGTGCTATTTGGGGGGAAGATTCAGTAGTTAAACATTTGTAAAATTCCAAGTGAAAAATAAAATTCGAATTTACTTATTATCTTAGTTTGCGACTAATCGTACGTTGAACAATATTTATTATGGTACTTGACAAAATCAGAACGTTTTGAAAAATGAAAATATTAATAAATATTTCACGCACGATCATAGAATTTACGCGTTACATAAGATTACCTATTTTCTTAATTTTACTAGAACATTTTTGTTGAATATTTCCATTTTGTAGTAGCCTTGAACATAATCCACTATAATGGTATTTATTTGTAGACGAGGTATGTAGGCACGAATATTATTATGCTAAGTAGTGTGCAAAAATTAATAAGTTTACATATTTATGAGTTAATTGTACATAGCTTCCAATTTTAATTTCAAAAGTACTTGTAGGCAGTAACAGTATTGTAGAAAAAAAATTGCTCATGTTGAGTTGAGTGTCAATTAGGTAGGACTTACAACTGATATACATATTTACATATTTTTTTTATACTATAAGCACCACACTACTGATCATCTTTTCGATCATTACAGTAAAAAAAAATTGAAAAAGATGACTTCTTTGAAATTGCGATCGATTTTTCGTTGGGGTTTATCTTATTTTATTTACGACGACCAGTTGTTATAAGAATTTATGTATTGTACAAATTAGTAGTACAGAGAAACATGGTATACCTAGTTTTCTTTTTATTTCTGCCCACATTTGACTTTAATCCCACTCATCTGATGTTTAGTGGTTGCTATGCTGTCTAGGCTACGAACCTGCTACATTCCTATTCAGTCTTGCCTTTAACAGACCCAGAATCCAGACCAATTTTGTAAATGGACTGCTTTGTTGGAAAACTTGTGTATAATAATGGTCGTCTGGTGTTCTTCTGACTTCTAATCAGAATATTTAGATTGAAGCAATTCACTTTTTAACCGACTTCAAAAAGAAGAAGTTCTATGTTCAACTAACTTTTTTTTTATTAGCTTCAGATTTTCTCTTTTTAGTTTTAAACTTTACTGATGTAGAATCTTTAAATGTTATACGACTTGTTATGCAACTGTTAAATGACCTGGATGAACAATCCTTATCAATCAGTTACAGAAATTGAAAAGATCTGATGACTCGTAACTTTTATCAGCTAGCTCAGAAACCCAGAGGTCAATATTATCTTTGACTAAGATATCTCACAAATAAGCTTTACGTGGAAAAGGATCTTATAAAATAATGCCACAATACTGTTTCAATTTAATATTTATTTAATGATCATCTCTTAGCTTAAGACAGGAAACATTTATAAAATAGCAGCTAATCACAATAATAAAATTATGATAACATTTACAGAACATTCTCTTAACTTCATATCAGAACAAAACCTCGCTTCAAGTCGCTGTACAGACTTAATAAATACATTATCTTTAAGTTATAACATATAAATTTAAGTCACAAAGTCTGTACAATACAACCCAGTGCTATAAAATCATCACGTAAGCTAGGAATTCAATATTGCCCGAAATAAAATTGCATAAAAACTTATAAAGATAAAACAGTCTCTGGTAAAATGTTTTACTATTTGATACCATAAGTGCTGGCCACTCGAATTCCTAGCTAAGAATAAAAAAAACTAAAGTTTATAAACAAAAAAACAGAAATAAATGGAAAGCCGTATTCGCTTGCCAATCTGAATTTTAAAAGATATTACAATTTGGTTTTTCGGAATAATGCAATTGGTCCTTTTCAAACAGAAAAATCTCCGAGCGGCTTCAATATTTTTGTATCGTGATTTTAATGAAACGTTATTAACAGGAAATACAGTTTATTCGTTATTAATAAAGAATTGGCCTTCGGTAGGGCATTAATGTATTTTTCCTTTGAGAGCAAAGATTCGATCGTCGCTCCTTCTCGTCATTAGGCGTAGGTGCGAGCGGGAGGGCGACAGTTCGCGTGCGATCCAATAATCTGATAGTGTTCAATATTCTGCTCTTTTTATGTTCGGCGCGAATCAAAGCGAATAAGAAGCGATCTAACGCGTTTCAGAATGCACTGAATAAATTAAGACTGCATTTTATTTCGCGCCGTTTGAAACTAATTAAATCAATTATATATTATAAACTTTTACTCGAGTCATCGTTAAAAGCAAAACCAAATAAATTAGCTAGCAGTGATTTAGGTGGCTATGAAAATCTTTCGACAGTCTGTAATTTACGAGGAAATTTAAGTTTAAACGCATTAAGGTGAACACTTTAAGAGTGACATTATCTGAGAGGTAACTAGCGGAAATAGTAGGTAATGTATTGTTCTCGCAGATACGAGCTTTGCAAACAATGTGTTATCTCATTTTATCGCAATTTTTCTAATTTAATTCCTGTCGCCACTCCGCAGGGCACAAAGGACTTTTCAATTTCGAATCACGGACACATTGCATGTTCGATGTAGGACATAATTTATTCCGGAATTAACGTACAACTAAAACTAAAGGCTCGGTACAAAATAATTTATTTATCTCCTAAATAAATCTCACAAAACTTCAGGAGGACACCATGGAAGCCACGCTGTAAATTAAAACTACGGCGATGAAACGGTTTTGGTCATTCATACGCTTTTTACATCTAATATTTACAACTTTTGAACGTGGCTCTGTCTGCAGTACGTTATGAAAACTACTTACAATTAAATATGTGCGTTTTAATAGTAATCATTTTGTAAAATACATTTTTGGTTGTATCCCAATTTAACAACTATTGATTTATACAGAACACAGTTTGTGTTCTTTATATTTCTGACTTAGTCGTAATCTCTTGCCAGCGGCCCCGACATAGGCTGCGGCGAGTGTATACAAGCTCTTAACATTTAAAATTTTATAATACATAATGATTATCAACAATACATTCAAACGCAAATTATATAAAAACAATTGTCTACTATCAATAAGTGACAAAACTTCTAAATGCGTCACTAGCCGGTTAAACGACTACAAAATCCGGTTAATCCGTATAAAATGGCCAATAGAGGTGGAAATTATTTTTTTGAAGCATCTTTTAATACATTGCGATCCAAACAAGGTTGGGGAAACTAGCACAAATACGACACACAGGCTAGGCTAATATCACAGGAGTTCTGGGAACGATGCGGAGGCCCCCGCCCGCCGGCGCCCCCTCCCCCCTCCCACCCTCCTACCTATTTACTATTCAGAGGGGGCGAAACGGGCCACTACCAATATATTTTGCGACAATTAAGATTTCAAAAGAAAAGGAACTTCGTTTTTGTTCATCCGAATTGCACATTAAATACGAACTCATTGCACATCCGATAACGGTTATATTAAATTCTCGCATTCTTACAAAAATTAAATAAACAACAACCGTGGATTATGTAACCTAAACTCGGAAGGTTCAACCAAATTATCATAATGGTAACAAAAGCATAAATGGTGACATCAGGTAACCGAACTAAAACGAAAATATAAAATAAACTTATTTAAGCGATAATATTTAACAAAACTCAAAAGTCAGACTTGTCTAAAATGCATCGCCGAGCATTCGCGTGTTGGCGGCCAAGTATATTGGCCCAATGTCGCGCCAACCTCGGCCAGTCCCATCAGCGCCGCGCACCAAACTCGACAATATTTTTGTTTTCACCTTTCACTAAATTCTTTAAACGATTTATATACTCTCGACGGCACATCAATATTTATTCGGAAAGTAATTAAACGCTGAATCAGTTCATTCACAGAGGCGTGTTAGTGTAGTCGAGTAATTTGATGCCTACTCGCCGAACGGCTCACAATAATGAACCGGCCGTCCGAGCACGCTATGTTTGTGCTGCGAAGCGATAGCGATTACAACAAATGTGTATAACGTTTAAAGTGATATAAACCGTTACCTACATCTAGACGAAGAGTATTGTGGAGCTTCAACGCAACCGTTCCCAGTCGTTTTGCACTATCTCTTAAATCACTATCATTTAAAGTACAATAATGTAACATAATTATCGCTTATTAGCTAATCCTTCAATAAAAACGATAACTTCCATAACTTCAGTACACGCGTCTCACACATGACGCGTTGACAGCGGACAAAGCACTCCGAGTTCTCTGATAGTAAAAATAATCATTGAACACTAATTGGACCGCGCCCATCGGCAGCGCCTGAGCAACTTTCTCTAAATAATAAAAAAAAACTCGCTAACAAAGTAAGTACTCTTAAACAACAAGGTATTCGCTAAACGCAGAGCGTCCGTTCCGGGTAACAAGTGACACCTCGCTCTCGGCGGGCTGGCCGCGAGCGCGGGCGGCGGCGAGCGGGCCCGCGGGCGTCGGGGCGCACGGGGCGCATCACAGGGGGGCATGCAGGGACGCGCTGCGACGCGGTCATGAGTCCAGCACCGTGAGCAGGCCCGGCGGCAGCAGGGGCACGTCCTGGCGCGGCATCTGCCTCGCCAGCTGCGCGCAGCCGAGGTTCGCGTCTCCAAGCTCAGGAATGGCGTCCAGTAACGCGAGGCACTCGTCTTCGACGGCCCGCCTCGCTTTTTTGCCCACCCAGGAGTCGTCGCATTCCTCGCGCGCGCGCCTTCTTCTCGCCTCCTTCTCGCGGCGCGCCTCCTCGCTCAAGCGACAGTATGTGTTATTGATGCAGACGGAGCGGCGCAGGTCGCGCGCGGGGTCCTCGATGTTTTCTAGTTTTTGGGAGCAGATCTCGATGACCCGCTTGCGCTCCTCGTTGGCGCGGAGGCGGGCGGATATCATGGAGAGCTTGGGCCGGGCGGCGGGCTCCGTCCGCGGAGGACCGAACATCTCGTCCTCAAACGCGTCTGCTATCTCCGCCCCTCGCGCACTCTCCCGCTCCTCTTGCGGCGTCATTCTGGAACAAACGAAACACATCATTAGCGCTATTGTAGCAAGAAGTAATATCAATTAAACAGGGTCACAAGAATAATATGGAATAGTACAAAATGCATCATAGTCATAATTATTACAAATTTCCCTGGGTATCCCCCGGATAACCTCAGTCAAAATACCACATTATAATTAGGTGGGAATCCCAAAACATACGACTATGTAAGCTAACTAATAAAACAGTGAAAGCAACACGTTAAAATCAAAAACACCAAACTCGAAACGACTCAAAAGAATCTGAGTTTGTAACTCAAATCAAGGAGAAACCATAATTATTTATTTCGCAATCACGAGTACTGGGTCAATCAAAGAACAATGCATCAACGACTGAACGCGCCAATCAGGTTCATAACTTGTTACAATCCGTTCCACTCGCGATCGTTTCAAAAAGGTGAGACACCAACAAAGATAATAAAGCAAACAAAAAAAAAACAAACCAACAAATTCGAAACCCACCTGAAAGGTAAATCAGAGGAAATGATGAAAAATCCTGACATCAACATGATAAGTAATCCACTGAGACCTTGTTAATTTATTAAATGGATCACTCAATGCCACAAAGTTCAAAACACTGACAAAATACGGCCGCGCAACACGTCGCTTTGTCCTCGACAGTAAAAAGTGATCAAGTAGAAGTGAAACAAAAATAAACGGCGCGAGACCAGCGTGTGCGCAGCGCGGCGGTCGCTGGTCGAGTGACAACATACCTCACTGTAGATAAGACATTGAAAAAGCCAATTGCGTCATTCCAGTACGGCTACGTACGTGCACAGAGGAAGCGGGTGACGTAGCCGAGCCGTCATTTTAGACGCTATTGACTGACTAGCACTCAGCCCAGTTTTGTTAATTTCCTCATATTGCCATAGATTTAACAACCTTCACTGAATTAACCTCCGAAGCATACGTAATGAGATTATTTAACCAAATGAACATAGACAAACAAACAACCGATACTCAAGAGTTAATTAGGACACGAATAACGCTAACAACAGATGAAATGCCTGAACGACTGCGAAGAGGAAAACAAAAGTATTTTTTCCTGCCACCATTATCAATTTGTTAGCATAAATGAAGGAATAAATCCTTAAAAAATTACCAATTTTCCCCGACAACCAGACACAAAAATTTACATGTTATGTTTAGAGGAAAATTTGAAATGATGATGAACTTGGGATTCAAAGGATAATAATTAATTTTCCTGGTATTTTCGTAAGATGGCATCAATATCAATACAATACAAATGATGCGAGGATATAGCTGTTGTTATAATATTTATTGAATAATATAAATAAATCAAATCATTCCTCTGTGTAGAGTTGCGAGAAAAAAGCGAGAGCATATTGAGGGCACTTGAGGTTTAACAATGTTCCTCTCCACGCTTTGCAAAGTTTTCCTGGCTTAGCAACAGAATAAAATTCTTTTGTTATGTAATTCATAGATGATCTAACCGGAAAAGTATTACTTCAACATAATTTGGCACTTGGAATACAACAGTTCAATCAAGTGGTGTTTTAAAGATTAAATAAGAATACCTAACTAAACCACTCGACTGCTCCGCGACTATAAAACTAGTGTTTCGTCTGACTTGAACACGTTCTTTCAGAATCTTATTATCGAAAAGATGTTATACGGTACGTGTTTTGCGCTAAAACGACTATAACCTAGCTCTCGCCCGACCGAGGCGCTGTATCAAGTATAACGCACGTTAAAATTACTGTTACGACCTTCAGAAAAACTTTTGATTATAAAAATATGCTAGTAAAAACATTTTCGGCTATGGAACGTAAATGAAAAACGTTTAGTAATCAAGCAGGAGTGATCCACTTTCGCGTAAGCTTAGCCATAGTGAACAAATGCGGTTTAAAAAGTTATGATAATGTGCGTGCGTGGTATGCCTCGGCTGCTCGGGTCATGTTTTTTTTTGAGGAGAGCGCGCGACGGCGGCGCGAGTGCCGACTGCCGGCTGCCGACCCCACCAGTTACGATCTAATAAATCTTGCTTGCCACGGCGAGGCAACACAACACTACCTGCACTTTCCTTTCTGTCTCACAACCGCGATCGTTCCGAGCACAAACGCTACCGAAACGCCGCCTACCGACGTGACACTTTTTCATTTCGATCACGGTTACAGAACAGCCCTGATAAAAGCCGGTGTTGAATTTGCGTCACAAATTGTCTTGTAATAGCGCGCGTAGGATGATTTTCGATATTGCTTTCGGGCAAACAATTTGTCAAATACGTCTGTCACATATTGACGCGGATGAACCGTGATTCAAAATGCGAAATGGAATTTGACTTTACTGCAAAATTGAAATTTCAACATTTTTGTGGAATAAAACATAAAAATTAAATGGCTCAAGATTTTTTGATTAGGCTATAGTCAAATAGATAATAATCAAAAAGAAAAAGTACAAACACATGATTACAGACTTCAGTGAATTAAGTATGTAGACTTAACAAGATTATACACATCCATTAGTTTAGAGAGTTTTCAGCTAACGCATTAGCTTGGAATCATAAAGTGTGTTTTAATACCGAGAAATTCAAACAACTAAAATTGTGAGTAAAATTCTTCTATGAGACAAACAGAATTACCAAATAACGCCCTTTCACTTTTTATCTAATTTGTTATCGTGCCCTTAATATGTGCAGTAACGGGCTTCCCTGTGAACATGTTTTGTGCTGTTTTTGTGTTAATTGCTTAGACAATAAGTTTCAAAATTATAACGTCATCAGACAAAAGTGCGAGTAAGTGAACAACAAAACAACATATTTTACATTTAATAAATACAAAAGTTGACGGACAGTTTTATACCTACGCGGTTCTCTGTAAACATAACTACACTTACTTTAGTGGCCAGAGGACTTTTGTCTTTATCGTGATGACTATAAGGATCAAAGTAGTTCTACGTTTAGTTGACTTTATCTTCTTATAACAAACGAAAACGTGTCTTTCAATGAAATCAAAGCCGTGAACGATCTTCTGGTTTGTAGTTTCACCACAATTTTGGTTCCACTTGATAAAATTAGTTTTAGCCTTTCAGTGGACTGAGCATTCATTTTTGTTCATTTACTCTGCTTGCTTTTAGCAAAAGGTAATACAAAAACAGTTGCTTTTTCATTTAATTAATTACAATCAATTAAAACCAGATATCCTTTTGTTAATGGCATTTTTCGTAATTCGCATTGAATTAATGTTTGCTCGCGCATTATTTGTAATTTATTGTATTTCTGATGACATTTATGAATTCTGATATCACAATTTGATAAAGCAATACAAGTCAATGGAACAATTTTATTGTAAACGCAGTTATTGGGTTTGGTAAGAACAATAAATTATAATTGCAAGCAACCATTTGATTTAGGTTGATTTAGGCTATCAATTCAAGAGCTAATCTTAGAACTTATATCAGAATCCTACTTACTAGCGATTATAATAATAGGCCAACATGAAACAATAAGAATTTAACCATAAGAATTTATGTATTTGAAATATTATACAATTTGACAGGACACATTTTTTTTTGGATTACAAAAGTTATGACATGGACAAACAATAATTATGGACGATGCGACGGCACACAAAGCCAATATTAAGACATCTTCTGCAGTGGTGATAAGTGCGATTTTGCCACAGAAACACAGTCTGATATTAATATTTGAATGATGAAGTACCCAAATGCGATTTTGGTTTAACTGTACTTATTTATGGAGCTAAAATTTTCTTTGACTACCTTCAGAAAGAAACAGAGTGGATTAGTTTAGTGTCATTTATAAAACAAAGATGTTTTATGTAATCAGTTGTGATACAGTACAATACCTTTCTGGGTCAGGAGCCATTCGTAATTAAGCTTCGACTACATGGCAAGGTCGCCGAAATTAATATTTATAATGTTTGTGGGTGTTCCTTAAATCATTATTCATTTTGTTTCTTACTGGTCATATTCGAGGATTATGTCTATCGGTGTTTCAAAAGGTTTAAATATACTGACGAGGAAATTGTAATGGATCAAACTCAAGTCTAAAATCAGTTACGTCACTTAAGAATTGATTAACATTTTCTTCATTTACTTCCTTCCTACCACGTCGATTTACACAATATTTAACAGTATTTTAGGGATCAATATCCATATCCACGTTACTAAAAATCATTTCAAATTCTTCGTGTTCTTTGCACTCTTTCAGTTCAGTTTCAGTTACATACTTTTCATTAATTTAGTTCAACTGAGCTCATTTCTGCAGCTCCTGGCTTTCTCATGAGCATCGATATTAACTACCGTTAAATTGTTGGCCATCCACTCGGCTAACAGGACCTTGTGTTCAGAAACTTTTCAAAATGCCTCGTACAGTGCGGGCTTTATTTCAGAGCATACTAATCTTTGTCACACGTAGCAGTAAATGGTTAGCGCGTATTCGTTTGGCTCTCAAAACAACTGTCGGAGCGCAGTCGCGTCCATCGAGGGGTTTATTCGAGAAATTCTAGATTTTCTGAGTCCGTAGCGTCGATGTGCAGAGCGTTACAGAAATAAATCAACTGTAATGGCCTCGGTTGACGTGCTTTTTACGGCCTTTGTTTGTGCCTTATTTATATTGTGAATATAAAGTCGTTTTGTCCACGAATTTGTAGTTATAAGTGACTGCCCTGCAACGGGAATTTGTGCAGTGTTTTAACTTTTTGGGAATAAGTGGAATGTTTTTTGTAGTTTATAAAAACATCCTTTTAAGTTAGTTGTTAATATTTTTAGCGATTAGATTAGCTTCTTTAAAGTAACTTGCTTTAGCGGTCACTAATAATTGTTTCACGACAGATTTTTGTTATTTGTTCAAGTTAATGGAGTTTTCCTTTGCTTTGTTATTATGAAACTTACGAATCCGATGACGACCAGTCAACATGTAGACAAAATAATATGTCGTCATCGTCACTCCTAACGACGCCATTTGCTTATACTGTAATTATGTAAGTC